GGATGAGAGACGAAACGTTTCTACATTTTTTTTGTTGATTTGCTTTGTTTTGTTTTTGTTTTTTAATGTCCAGAGGACCAGATTTAACTTTTTTACAAAATAAAGAGACATCCAAATTGTTTTTTATTTATTTATTGCTGTCTCATTTACTTAAATTTAACAACTTAATCCTCTGTTAAAGGCAAATGGGGAAATTAGTGTTTCCACCACGGTTTCTGATGTAACATTTGGTTTTGATCCACGATTCATTCTGGATAATGCTCAAAGTGTATCACTGGAGTTTTCTTATGGCTATAAAACAAATCGGGAAGTTGCTCTGTGGGATTTGAATTGAAGAGTTTAGTTTTCATCAGAAAATTAAACATCGATCCTGTGCCAGCAGCCACAAAGAGCTGCACCTGCTGCACCAAGTCTTTGACAGAAGACCTGCCACTAGAACTGCACTGTTGGTTGTTAATGTGTGGCATAATCTGCACTACACAATTTAAATACTGTTGCTTTCTGTAAAATGAACAGTATTGTTCCAGTTTCCTAATCATGGCAGAGATTGTAGTACAGTATTTCCAAAAACTCTAGCTGTAGTCGTGAGTCTGAATTATATGTGAGGAAAAGAAAAAGGCTGTAATTTTGCATCAAGCAGGATTTTATTTTTATTTCTGAGACACCGAACACAGCAAACTACATTTAGATAACACCTATACAGAAAAGATGAGTCTGTCTTCCCGAACAGCTTTAAGACCACATAACCCACAATGCCACCTCCTTAAAGGGAAGTCTCAGCTAATACATTATTGGTGTTTTTATCTTCAATATTGTTGCTCTTAAAAATCCTTTTTGGAAACATGTTTTTTTGAGGGTAAATAAATAGTTTGTTCTCTTTTTGAGCTGCCTCCTAATATGATGTCTGATCCATCGCGTGTTTGTTTCCAGCTCAGGTGTTGAATCTTCTTTGGAGAGCCAGACAGACATGGAGCCAGCTGTGCAGCAGAGTGATGATGCTGCCCTTCCATCTACCAGCCAAGACCCTGGTACTGTACTCTGTTCCTAAAAGCAGGACTTCCATCTTAAATCCTGTAGATTCATTTAATTTACATGACAAACATTAGTGTAGGGGTGGGCGATATGGCTCAAATATAATATTGTGATATTTCAGAGTCAGAGATTCTTTATTGTCATTCGCACCACATGTGGTACATGTGGTGGAGCGAGATTATGTACACAGGGTCCCAGTTACATCCAACAATAAAATGTATAAGAAAAACAGTAATAACATCTAAGATATGAACTAAGAAAAACATCAACTAAATATACACTAAGCACTAATGGCATGTAAACATTACGTCGAACAGCAGCACGAACATGAGCATGAGTCTGTGAGCAGATGTGCACGCATGAACACATCAACATGAAACAGATCAGCAGCAACATGAAACAGATCAGCAGCAACATGATATGGTTTTTCACAGTGATTATTCTAGTTAGAGATTCATGAGTCTAACAGCCTCCGGGTAGAAGCTGTTCCTCAGTCTAGTGGTTCTACACTTAATGCTCCTTAACCTCCTTCCTGAGAGGAGCAGAGCAAAAAGTGTGTGTGCTGGATGAGTGGGGTCCTTCATGATGCAGGTGACCCTCTTCCTGCATCTAGAGGTGTAGATGTCTGTGATGGTGGGGAGACTGACTCCAACATCTTCTGTGCAGCCTTCACCACTCTCTGCAAAGCTTTTCTTTCTGCAGCTGTGCAGCCTTCATGCCACACGCTGATGCTGGAGCACAGGATGCTCTCCACAGCCATCACAAGTGTAGAAGGAGGTGAGAACTGAGCTTCCCAGACCAGCTCGTCTCAGCCACCTGAGGAATTAGTCTCTGATGAGCTTTCTTGATCAGGCTGGAAGTGTTATTAGTTGTTACCCCATCTGAGGTTGTCATTCAGGTGTACACCGAAGTACTTGTAATTGTAGACCACTTCCACTGCTGATCCTCTTATGTTCAGGATGATGTAGGTATATTTGTTCCTTCTGAAGTCCACAATCATCTCCTTTATCTTCTTCACATTGATGTGAAGGTTATTCTCTTTGCACCAGCTCTTCAGGTGTTCCACCTCTTGCCTGTAGCTGGTCTTATCATTGTTTGTGATGCATCCCACCACCGCTGTATCATCTGCAAACTTTACAATGTGACAGCCTGGATGGGTAGCTGCACAATCATACGTGAGCAGAGTAAACAGTAAGGGGCTCAACACACATCCCTGAGGAGAGCCAGTGCTGAGGGTTATGGTGGAGAAGGAGAAGTTGTGGATCCTCACTGTTACTCCTTTGTTTTGTTTAGTTTACATGCCAATCCGCTAGGGGGCACTGCCATGCCAATAGCGCATGTTAAGGTGTTTTACACTCTTCTTCTGTGGTGTCTGTGAGTCTGGCAGAGATGAGCATGGTGGAATAAAGTTCTATTGGATCCAAAAGGAGAAGTTATTTTTATTGACTAACACTCACTGACTGTGGTCTGTTTGTTCAGAAGTTTAGTACTCAGTTGCAAATGGAGGGGCTTAGTCCTAGTGTGAGTAGTTTGTCCGTCGGGGTTTGGGGGATCATGGTGTTGAAGGCAGATGTGAAGTCCACAAAGAGCAGACGGACGTAGGAGTCCTTCTGCTCCAGGTGGTTGAGCGCAGTGTGGACCACAGAGGAGATGGCGTCTTCTGTTGATTGGTTCTCATGGTATACATAATGATGAGGGTCCTCGTTGATGGTTGTTTTGATGTGGGTCATGACCAGTCTTTCGAAGCATTTAGCGACTATCGGGGTGAGGGCCACTGGCCGATAGTCATTCAGACCAGTCACTGTAGAGCTTTTTGGGACTGGGATGATGGTGGCAGTCTTCAGGCAGGTGAGAACTGTTGCCAGGGTAAGTGAGAAGTTAAAAACGTCTGCCAGCACCTCACAGAGCTGATGGGCACATTCTTTCTGGGCCGGTTGCCTTGTGCGGATTAATCCTCCTGAAGGTCCTTCTAAAGCCCTCAGTATACTCCCGCGTATGTCCGTTCACGCGTACGTACGCGTGTACTGTACGCAGAGGGTTCAGACTTCGTACTCAAGCGTATACCCTGAGCAGCTGCAGAGCAGCTTCACAGACGAGGGGCGTTTACCTTTGGGACAAATTGAGGTCGCTGATTGGTCATTTGCTGACACGCCTACTGGACAGATTGACAGGTCGGGAAAAAGAAAAAGAAACAAGCGCTGGCAGCCTCAGCCACAGCGGTGTTCTGTGTTTATATGTTGTTAATAAAAAGATCTAAAAAAATAATAATAAAAAAACGGGGAGCACTGGCTCTGCAGCCCACACATCAGACCAGCACACCAGGAAATCTCCAGACCCTCCCGCAGCCACGCTGGACCAAAGTTTAATTCGCTCGTGATAAATTCCTTCATTTCTCACCATTTCAGTCATGGCATCAACGGAGGAGGAAGAGATCACTGCCTCTTGGAAAAAAACAAAAGAAAAGGCCAGATCAGGGATGAAGAAGGGGAATTTAATACATTGGTGTCGCATACAAAACAGTCCGTCGCCGGGCAGTTTATTGTGCGACACTGCGTATTCGGTTGTAAAAATTGAGCTTTGCACGGACATGCCCTGGGGGGTACGCTCGTACCTCCACGTACGTACGTGCGTACCTCTGCGTATGGACGTACGTGGGAGTATACTGGGGGCTTTACTTCGGCTGAGGTCACACTAAGATGCTCTTCGTCCATTGGTGAGGTGAGTCTGGTGCTAGGTGGTCTGTTCGGGTCTTCAAAGCGTGCATAGAACTTGTTGAGGGCATCAGGCAGAGATGGGTCTTTTGGGGCATTGGTCTCTCCTTCCTTTATAATCTGTTTTGCACTTAATGTCCCTCCACATGCTCCCAGGGTATTGTGAGGTGAATTGACCCTCGATCCTCTGTGCATATGTGGCCTTGGTCTTCTTAATACCAGCAACCAGCTCTTTCCTTCTTCTACTCAGCTCCTCTAGAGTTTCCAGACCTAAAGGCAGTGTTCCTGGCTTATATTTCAGAGCATTCTGACGATAACAATAAATTTTGTGATATAACAACAAAAAAAAAGAAAACAGAAATCATAGTTATTCATTTGACAAAATTAACTTAACATGTTGTTTTGCAATCTTATATTTAAAAAAGGGTTAATTTTACTGAAATTACTTTATTTAGTAAAGTATTCAGTCTCAAAGTATAAAAATAAAAATGACCCTTCTATTATTTAGATTGAATAAGTCTGCACAACATATAGATCAATAAATCCACCACAAAAACTAAAATGCAAGTGAAGTTTCCCAAAATAACTAAATAAAATAAAATGAATTTTAAGATCTGTTGAGCATAAATGTTACATAAAACAAAACATGTTGCCTTTAAATGAGCTATAACGTCCAGAACTTGGGACAAGGTGTCTTCAGCTTGGGAAATTACAGCTAATAATCATAGTTTTCTTGGGGGAGTGGTGGCGCAGAGGTTAGAGAAGGTGGACCTGTGATCGGAAGATCGCCGGTTCAAGCCCCGGTACCGACAACATCAAAAATGTGGGTGGGGTAGGTAAAGCACCCACACCTGCCCCCACCCTCATTCGTCCCACTCTGGGCACTCTAAGCAAGGCCCTTAACTCCCACCATCTGCTCCTCCGGGTGTTCTAGACAGCAGCTCTTTGCTCCACATAGAGGGCTGTGGAAGCTCAGTGTCTGTGGTTGCGTCAGGAAGAACATCTGGTGTAAAAAATAATAAATAACAGCCAAGTCTTTGTGCAACTTAGTTCTCTGTGGCGACCCCTAATGCAGGGAGCAGCCGAAAGAAGAAAAAAAAATGCAATAGTTGTCTTGGTTTTTATTAGTACTATTAATTTATTTGTATTTTACTGTAAATTTTATTACACTTTTATTTTTATTAAACTCAATTTTATTTCTTTTGTCATATTTTTATCTACAATGTTATAATTCTTGTGAAGCACTTTGGTCAGCTGCGGTTGTTTTTAAATGTAATATATAAATAAACTTTGAACTGAATTAAATTGAATTCAGCTGCCCCTGAAGCTCGTGGTGTTTCAGCTTCCTCACAGGAACCATTCATTTCTCTGATGCTCTGTCTTTCATCACCTGACTCTGTTCTTGGTCCATGGACTGTGGAACTAAGAGACACAGCTGAGCTGCACGTTTTGTTTTTAGCTTTTTAGCTAGCTAGTATTGCGCGCAGCTAATTAGCGTGCCGACAGGTGGATTGGTGTTGGGGGGGGGGGGGGGGCTGTTTGGTTCGGTAGGTCGGCGCAATCGGTTCTTTTAATGGTTCTTTCTCCTGTGTTGAGTCATGCGTCTGTGAAGAGGCTGTTTAGTTTCTCCAATGTAGAGGTCTGGACAGTCCTCGCTGCCCTGGACCGCATACACTACACCATTCTGTTTGTGTATGGGTGTCTTGTCTTTAGGGTGGACCAGCCTCTGTCTGAGAGTCCTGCTGGGTTTGAAATGTACTGGGATCTTGTGTTTGTTGAAGATCCTTCTGAATTTCTCTGATACTCCAGCAACATAAGGGATGACAATGTTTTTACGTCTGTTGTTCTCCTTTTTCTGTTTATTGGTGTGTTTTGTAGATTTCCTCGCTGACTTGACAAAAGCCCAGTTCGGATATTCACATGTTTGAAGAGCTTCTTGAACGTGTTTCAGTTCCTTTTCCTTCCCTTCTGTCTTTGTGGGGACGCATTCGGCCCGATGTTGTAAAGTTCTGATGACAGAGAGTTTGTGTTCCAGTGGATGGTGGGAGTCAAACAGAAGATACTGGTCTGTGTGGGTTGGTTTCCTGTACACTTCAATGTTGAGGCTGTCCTCTCTCTCCATCTGAACCAAACAGTCCAAAAAAGGCAGCTTGTTGTCGTTTGCATCCTCTCTGGTGAACTTGATGTTGTTATCGACCGAGTTAATGTGTCTGGTGAACGCTTCTATTTCCTTAGCTTGGATTTTGACCCAGGTGTCATCCACATAACGGAACCAATGGCTTGGCTTAGTTCCCTCATAGGAGTGTAGGGCTCTCTGTTCCACTTCCTCCATGTAGAGATTGGCAACAATGGGTGACACTGGAGATCCCATGGCACAGCCGTGCTTCTGTCTGTAAAAACTGTCATTGAACTTGAAATAAGTGTGGAGAGGCAGAATGTTATGATGTATGATGCATAATGTTAATGAGCTGTTATATGTTGCCTGTTTGCTCTGAGCATGCACCACTGGGTGTACAGTGATGGTTACAATGCTGCTCTTATCCTCAAAACTGCTGTCACTGAGCCCATGATGTGAACAGAATAAATAATGCTTCAAAGATGGACACCTGCAGCTTAATGAAGGCGTCTTTATTATGGGGAGATCTGAAAAGGACTGTTCATGTGTACAGCTGAAGGTTTTCTTTACTTTCTGACTTTTTTTTGTTAACAGACACCAGCGGTGTGACTCTGCGCCGCACGGTGACCAGTCAGCCTCTGATGAGCAGCCTGTCGGGCAGAGGAGCCAGAGGAGGGAGGCTATTCAGCCGCAGAGGTAAGAACCAAACACTGGGCTTTCCTCACACAGAGTCAGTTTTCATCTTCATGATCAATCACTGATAAGTGTAGAGAACAAGTCCCTTCCCTCAGAGGGCAGTGATGAAGCAGCCCATAGCATGAACACAAGTAATAACAAAACTGAAGAGCAGAATGGTGGATTCTAAACTCTTTGCTTGTTTCTCACTTTATTGTAGGAACTTTTCCACGAGGAGGAAGAGGAGGAGCCATGGGCAGAGGAGGTATCGCCTAATGATGATGTCATCTGTCATTTCATCAATGAGGACAAAAACACAACGATCACAAACTCAAGGAATCTTTAGTTAATTTCAAGTCAATACGAGAATGTTCTGATCACTTTCTTATTTGTGAGTTCAGACTCTTGGTGAGACTGAATTTTAGGTTTTATCATTTTAGTTTTAATGTTCATATTTTTGTTTGTGTTGCTGTGTTTGGCTGATATTAAAAGGGTTTTTAATAATAAAGCAGGACAAGAAATAGCAGCAATGTCTTGTGGTGTTTTATTAATAATAGTATTAAGACATTTTGTAACGGTAAAAAGGATACATCTTATTTATCGTACATCACTTGATACAGTTACACTCAAGTCATTAAAATATGTAAAATCACTACCAAAAGAAAAACCTACTTAATATTTATACTGTACTTTTTTCCTTTCATGTATTCTCAGAGTTTTTTATTTGAGGAACAAAAATCTTTAAACAACTCATATTTTAATGTTTGAGGAGTAACATCGAGTTACTTAAGCTTTTCTGTTGAGCAAAAACATTCCAAAGCAAATATTTGTGTGTGCTGCAGCAGAACACGACAGCAGAGCTGTGGTCTTCTGTTGGAGGTGTTTCTAAGGACAGCGCAGCCAGAATCTGATGGAGTTTGGAGGGTGGAGAGCATTAGGCCTCTGTCCCACCATGTCATCCGAGTTGCTCCCCAAAACAACGGGGCTCAGGACGTGCAGGGATGTGAGGGGGTCGGGGTTGACCAGGGCTGGCAGGTCGCCGGAAATCTCCACTCTGAAGAAAAGAGCTGTAGAAAAACTGAATGTTAGGACAATAATTAGTGGGGAGAACAAGTATTTGATAGACTGTTGATTTTTCAGGTTTTCCCACTTGCAAAGCTTGTAGATGACTGTAATTTTTATCATAGGTACTCTTCAACTGTGAGTGATGGAATCTAAAACAAAAATCCAGAAAAATACAATGTATGATTTTTAAATAATTAATTTCCATTTTATTGTGTGAAATAAGTATTTGATCATCTATCAACCAGTAAGAATTTTGGCTCTCACAGACATGTTAGTTCTTCTTTAAGAAGCCCTCCTGTTCTCCACCCATTACCTGTATTAACTGCACCTGTTTGGACTCGTGACCTGTATAAAAGACACCTGTCCACACACTCAATCAATCAGACTCCAGCATCTCCACAATGCCCAAGACCAGAGAGCTGTGTAAGGACATCAGGGATAAAATTGTAGACCTGCACAAGGCTGGGATGGGCTACAGGACAATAGGCAAGCAGCTTGGTGAGAAGGCAACAACAGTTGGTGCAATTATTAGAAAATGGAAGAAATACAAAATAACGGAAAATCTCCCTCGGTCTGGGGCGCCATGCAAGATCTCACCTCGTGGAGCATCATTGATCTTGAGGAAGGTGAGGAATGAGCCCAGAACTACACGGCAGGACCTGGTCAATGACCTGAATAGAGCTGGGACCACAGTCTCAAAGAAAACAATCAGTAACACTCTACGCCATCAAGGATTAAAATCCTGCAGTGCACGCAAGGTGCCCTTCCTCAAGCCAACGCATGTCAAAGCCCGTCTGAAGTTTGCAAATGACCATCTGAATGATCCAGAGGAGGAATGGGATAAGGTCATGTGGTCTGATAAGACAAAAATAGAACTTTTTGGTTTAAACTCCACTCGTCATGTTTGGAGGAAGAAGAATGATGAGTACAACCCCAAGAACACCATCCCAACCGTGAAGCATGGCGGTGGAAACATCATTCTTTGGGGATGCTTTTCTGCAAAGGGGACAGAATGACTGCACCATATTGTGGGAAGGATGGATGGGGCCATGTATCGTGAGATTTTGGCCAACAACCTCCTTCCCTCAGTAAGAGCACTGAAGGTGGGTCGTTGCTGGGTCTTCCAGCATGATAACGACCCAAAACACAGCCAGGGCAAATAAAGAGTGGCTCCGTAGGAAACATCTTAAGGTCCTGGAGTGGCCTAGCCAGTCTCCAGACCTGAATCCCATAGAAAATCTTTGAAGGGAGCTTAAAGTCCGTGTGGCCCAGCGACAGCCCCGAAACTTGAAGGCTCTGGAGGAGATCTGTGTGGAGGAGTGGGCCAAAATCCCTGCTGCAGTGTGTGCAAACCTGGTCAAGAACTACAGGAAACGTCTGATCTCTGTAATTGCAAACAAAGGTTTCTGTACCAAATATTAAGTTTCATTTTACTGGTGTATCAAATACTTATTTCAAACAATAAAATGGAAATTAATTATTTAAAAATCATACATTGTATTTTTCTGGATTTTTGTTTTAGATTCCATCACTCACAGTTGAAGAGTACCTATGATAAAAATTACAGTCATCTACAAGCTTTGCAAGTGGGAAAACCTGAAAAATCAACAGTGTATCAAATACTTGTTCTCCCCACTGTAGGTACAAAAAGACCACGTGCCGAGGTTCGACAAACTAAATTGACGTTAAAATATTTTACAAGGTTTATGCCAACAAAGTGCTGGCAAATGCAATATTTATTAGCATAAACTCCACAAATTACAGAAGAGCATCAGTCTTTTTGAGTGGTCTGTTAAATAGTTGCTCTCGTAGCTCCATGCTTTGTTTTTGACCACGCAGCTGTTGTTGGCTCACTGGACGGGACACAGCGGTCTTTAGCAGCAATGGGCTAATGGAAGCAGTTCAGTAAAAGTGGTAGCAGTGAAATAAATATAACTGATAAAATGATATAAATACTGTGACTCATCTGAAAAGACTGCAGTTTGCAGTCTGATGACGCCTTCCTGAGAATAACCAGGTGTACTTACGTCCAGAGAAGACAAAGTGGTGGACGCTCTGAGGACTGGCCATGGACAGAGCAGAGGTGATCGGGGTGGGGAAGCCTTGAAGAGAAACTCTGATATTGATTTCTCCACTCAGAGCTTCTACATGAGAAACAAAAACAAATGGACAGGACTTGCAGTTTCTCTTAAAGTGACATGCTTAAAACAGTTTTTGTTCAGTAATAATAACACTATAGCAAATAGTTAAGAGACAAAAGTAAACCATAACATTTCTGTTCTTTTTATTTTCTGTTTTTTTATTTAACCTGATGTTTTAAAGGGAAGTGAAACATTTGATCAATGACCATGAGGAAAAGGACAAAGTCAGATTCCTGATCCACCTCACCTGTGACACCCTCATTGACCAGTACCTCTCAATTTGTTTTTCAGCAGATACCTCCACATTATGGGAATATGTTTCGTCTACTAACCTGCCTGACCAGCTAAGTGTCTCTTCGGGGGACTTCTTGGATTCTCTGTGCAGGACGGAGCGCTGCCTGGTGGGAAGATGAACCTCTGCATTATGTCTCCTAGAGAGACAACAGGAGGCGTTACTCTTAGTCCTGTCAGTAAACTTAAAAACTCACAGCATGTTTAATTATAGGTCAGTTTTTTGTCACTTTTTATCTGAGGTGATGAGAAGCAGTTCTAGGAAACGCTCAACAAATTTTGGACAAAACGCTGAGAGTCTGACAGCTGTGTGCTGATGTCTGTGTCCGTCCTGCTCACCCTTCTTAAAGAAGAACACCGTCTCTGGTCTGGTCCTGGTGGCCGGCACAGCCAGCACAGCTCTGATGCTTCCTGTCACACCTGGAAACTCGTAGGACAGAGGTTTCGGGTATCCAGGCTCCATCACCATGTTCCTATCCAGACGCCAGTACTGGTCCCCCTGGAACAGAGAAAGGTGATCATCATGAGTTAAGGTTTCTGAAATGTAATGTGCATAATGTTTCACTGTGCTCTCATCATCTTTATAATGCAGCACCTTTGATTACACATTTAGTGCACTCCGTTACGAAGACTTCAGACAGAAAACTAAACGATCTTATATGTTGCATTTCAGACCGTTTTAACACTAAATGTTTCGATGTTCCCTATATTTTAGATCTGATCCCTTTAGAAGTTGCATCATGAGATAGAGTTGTAGTAAACAGATGTACCTTTATAATGTAGGTGTATCCATTGCAGCCGAGTCGTGTGAAGATGGTATCAATGGGTGAGGGGACGCCAAGAGTCTGTGTGATGTTCTGTGGAGGACCAACTAAGTGACTGATGGGGTCAACTGACCAGAATAACTCACCTGTAATACACAGAAACACACTTTAAGCTTGTGTATGGTGAACAAAGTGTTAGGAAAGACATGTCCCCAAATCCTATTTTGCTTTAACAGACCTGAAGAAGCAGAGCACAGAGTCTAAGCTTCACATAAATTATAGAAAAAAACAAAAACAAACGTGAACCTTTAAATATCAGGATGGTTCTGTTGCTGAGAGCCGTCAGTCCATTGATGGGGGCATCGCTGCACAGGTCGACGTCAGCAAGGAGTTCTGCACCAACACACGGAGTTAACTTAGTATGAACTCATCAAACCCAGACAGATCTACAGGACCACACCTCACCTGACACTAATCCTCCCTCCACAACAGAGAGGGCCAAAGGTGGTGCTATATTCATCAAGGTGCTGGGTCTGGAACCTGTAGGACCTCCGACACCTGGGGGGGGGGGGTGAGGTAGATCTGTGTGTGTTTGATGAGTTCATACTATAGAAACAAACAAAAACAAACGTGAAGCGTGGGATATCAGGATGGTTCTGTGGCT